GCCGATGACAGCGGGGTCAGGAGCGGGTTGACTACTAGACCTAGCGCCCTCTTTGGATATATGGTTTCTAGTCTGTCATCATTATTGTACACACTCGAAAAATTTGACAGGCTCTGACAGGCCTAAAAAACGAGGCCTGTTTGGACCTCTGATACGTACATTAGCAATGACTTGAAGTGAAAATTCTTCATTAGAAATGAAAAATCTGAGTGAGATTAACCAGAACCTGTCAACTATTTTCTTTCACTTACGATGACGAAGCCTACATATCTATTGAATATTTTCCACATTGAAAAAACTCGCAATGCAATATCTTTTTCTTTTTGTGTAAATTTTTCATTTAAACGACACGCAAAAAACTCGTGGTCTCTCATTTTTAATTTTCAAATTCGAATTTTATTAATAACAATATTGAGACTACTCTACAATCGAAACGTTTCAAACTGAATAAGAAAGTGTTACATATCATTGCTTGATTTTGGCTATCGTTATTATCAGTTTGAGATTTACCTGTCTTTCATAATAGCTACCATATCTGGATAACCATCAAGGTTATAATCAGCTATTTTAACACTAATAGGTATTTGATCAAATGGTGATGGAAATTCATTCTTCGAAGGAAATCTTAAATCATTACCGAATTGAATTGGTAATTGATGCCACTAAAAATAATTTTTATTCATATAAAATTATATTTGTATAAAATCTTAACTTACTTCATTATTATCTCGTACATAAATTCGACTATCTGAACAATCAAAATTCATACAAACTGGTAGAATATGTTCTAATTCACCATCAGCGTCTAATGAAAAAAACAAAACGAATATTATTAAAATAAAACATATTTTATTATTAACCTATATCGGCAAATATTGATAAATGATATATAGCAATATTGGGTGGTGGATCATATTCCTTAATTAATGTCATTTTAGTTATCGGTAATTCATAAACGTGAAATTTTGGTTTATTTTTATATATGATTGTTAGAAATAAGTCTATTTATAAAGCAAAAACAAAAACCAATAATCAGAATTGAACTTGTTGATATTGTTTTGTTTCTGTATAAATCTAACCTGCAACAAGATCATTATTGAGATCAACTGTAGCTTGTGTTGAACTTGGAAAAAGATTATCAACATTAATTAATATTTCGAAATTATATACAGTACGATTTTTACTTTAAATTTGTAAATAAACAAAAGAAAAAAGATATATTTATTTATAAATGAAATAAATAATCTTTCTTACAAACTTAAACAAGCTGGTTTAAAATTAATTTGATCATTACTAATCATACCTAATAATTCAACATATGAATCACCATTAGCACTAAAGAAAGATAAAAATTATTCTCATAAATTTAATATTAATAAATTATTTTACTCAAGAGTTGTTGGAATTGTTTGAAATAAATAATCTATTGGTTGAAGATCACCTAAAAATTAGAAAATTATTTAAAAATAATTTTCTTAACTATAATAAAGTTTCTATAATATGGTCACTATCGAAACTGACCAAAAGTGTGCACTTTACGGAGATTTTTCCAATCTATAAATATTCAATTGCAATTGCTTTTTTTTGATTGCACAAGGTGACCTTTTTTCCTCTCTCCAACAATTAATTAATCAGACGTTGACATGATTTTATGTTACTAGATGTTAAAACAAAAACAACGAGATATTATACCAAGTACTATTACCATTGTCTAATATTGTTTTTCTTTCTATTAAATATTCCTAGTTAGTCTATTTCTTTTTTCAATATGTTCTATGATTGTTTCTCATAAGGCAATACACATAACATCATTCTTTTCTCGTTCTGCACGTAAATGACAGGACATATGTTGCTCACATTGTAAAGACTGTTATTGTTCATGGAACCGGAAATAATCGTTCGCTATTCAGAATAAGGATGTGCTCATATAGAGAGGCTTTACAATAGAACTATTACATGTTCATTTCGACAAAACAGAAAATATCATCGAAGATATTTCACAATAATTCTTTGTCGAATTTAGAAATGTAATTATCATTAAATGTTATAGTCTAGAAATTAGAATTCGTTCGAGAATAAATATGTGATTGTTAAAAAGACATTTTAAAATTTTGAATCAAAGAATAAGAAAAGTTCTTCGAAAAAAAGTTTTTTTTTTAATTATAAACGTCCTTCTTCCTATCTTACTGGTGTCTGAGACTCTCTATTACATAAAATAGGTGCTAGTGAGTAATGCAGTTTGCGTTAAATAGAGAAAAATATGACAGTCGCTTTTTCCCAATAGTCAAAATTTATCGAATCAATCTAGTTTTAGTATTTTAAAAGCTTGAATTTAATATTTCAAAAAGTTTCATAACCACATATTTTATCTTGTAGGTTATTATAGAACGAAAAAACAATGAATCAATACTTACTTAATTTAACTCGATCACCCCATAGAAAACCACCATTGTATACTGTTTGATCCGGTGTTGTTTTATAAAGTATAAATAAATCAAGTTTACTATCCCCATCATAATCAGCTGCTAATGCATCATAAATAATTCCTCTATGTACAACAAAAAAAAAACAGACATGAATAAATAAATTTAATTATTTAACATTTTTACATACGTTATATTCACTATGTATTGTACTTTAGATGTTGGTGACCGATCATCATTAAGCATAACTCGAATACTATTACCTTTTGTATTTCGACAAAAAATATCAACAATTTTATCGGCATTAAAATCACCAAATGCTAATGGTATACAATCATCAATAGCAAAATTTTTGTTGTTACTAAAATGTCCATCAAATACATGTTTTTCATTACCAATATCATGTAGAGATTTTTTTCTATCAGCATTTATACCATTAATAATAAAACTAATGATCAATAAATAATGAAAAATTATTGACCACTGTAAAAAACGAAATTTATTATCATCATTCATATCATCTAGGCAAAAAACATTTAATTCATAAAATTTTTATAATCATTTCGGATATATATTTATATAGATTATTATAATGTGAATTGAATAGTTTAAATAAAAAAAAAAGTTTATGTGCAAACAATACTATTTGATTTGATCGAAGTTGGAAAAAAAAGTAAATATTGTCATAGTCTACAGACAAATCGAGAAAAATCGTCAAATCAATATCAAATGGCGAACATACTAATGCACTTGGTGTCGCTAATTTCTGAAATATCTCGATCACTTTTTCAGAGGGACTACTTAACATCAAATTGTAGCTTGACAAAAGAGTAATCATCCCATGAAGTCAGATTTTCCGGCCCATTTTTTTTTCTTGAGAAAATCATTAATTAAGTGGACCAACAGAAAGCAATGAAACTCAATGACCAATAAAAATAGGGCATAATGTTATTCTTTGTATCTGCATGCACAAATTCATTTGCGACATCAAAACGATAACGAACATCATCTAGAGCAGAGTTTGCAGTGGAAATCTAAAACAAAATGTATCCGTACATTTTGCTTATATAAGTAAACTATATCTATACACTTTATTTTCATCACCAAAGTGCACACTGTACAGATACGAGAGTCAATTTTTTTTCAAATATAAAATATTAAATGAAATGTTCTGATCTTTCATAAACGGAAAATTTAAGTATAATCAGCGAAACAGAAGAAGGGCCTGTACTATTTCATTATCTAGCCTTTTTACAAAAAAATAAGTAAAGAAAAATGCGAGTTTATGGGAAACAAGCTGAATATTGTAGAGTCTCACCATTATCAGAGATCGAGAAAAAAGAAGTTAAATCTAACTAATGTTAAAATCGATTAAAAGGTATCATAATTTACTATGACGTTTCCGTACTATTTGATCTAAAATTTCTTAGCACTTTTAATGCATTAATATCAAAGTGTAAATTTATTCTATCCAGTGTACGGCGTACACTTTGCTTTTTCGACCAAAGTGTAAAACAGACTGTACATGAAAAACAGCAGATGTTCTGTACATTTTTTTTCTGCTTGGGACACCTGCTTTTGAAAACCCGATCTAGAGCATCGGTATCAATCAAATAAGTATCCTTTAATAACGATAAATTTTATTTTTTTAGAGTATTTTCGACGACTCGAAACCATTTTCTTCTCCATGTTTTCATTCAACTCCTACAACACAATCGATAACAAATCCTGATGCAACAATTTTTGTAATAATCGTTGTCTTTTAAATGTATAGCATTGTTCGTTTCTATTTCTTTTTAGAAAACACCTGTGCCATCACCTAAATCAAAACCACGACCAGCTACACGTTTAAAAGAAACTTATGGACTAAAAATGAAGTACAATCAAAACAAGCAATAATTATTTTGATATTTTTTGTGTAATTTTATTTATTTGTGATTTTTTTTAATTGTAAAATTGATTTTGAAATAAATTTAACGATCGAGACGATCGTCAGTATTCAAAAAATAGACTCAGTTCATATAAAAGAAGTTGCGACTAAACAAACTCAAATTCAGTAAAATGAAAATTAAGCAAGAATTCAATCTATGAAGCTGTCATCATTCTGTATTGTATTATCACTCCATGCTGAAGCCATTAAAGGCTATCTTTGTTTGGATTGGTCAGATTGTATCGATTATTTCTCGGTTAAAATCACTTTTTCAGAAAAAAGTAAAAACACAGTTTGATAGAGAATTGTTTTTCCTATCTACTAGTATTCTTCAAAGTCCCGGCCCATTTAATTTTTTAAGAGGTCGCCACGCGTAGTGCATTTGATATTGATTCGATTAAAACGCTATGCTTTTTTCGCTCTGTCGGCTGACTATCAGATAAAAACAGCCAAACGAACGATTCAGAATCAAAACAGTTCTATACGTACATATGGCTGGCCAATTGTCTTTATCCAATGAAAATCTATCAGAGGAACCTATGAGAAAATATATAAATAACATAACATTTACTAAAATGTATTACAATAATTTGATTGTACCTCAAAATTCAATGCTTGTCATTATTCACAGATTGAATTAGGTACATAAGCGACATCTATCTAGCAGATTTACGATCAAGAAAAATAGACTATTCAACTTGAGACATGAAAACCTATGCATTAAATAGGAACTGAATGGGTATGTTTCTCTAAAAAAATTCATCGTTGAAATCAATCAAAGTTAATTTAGTTTTTGACCAATAATCATTTTAAACATAAGATATTATTTGAATTTTCTATATAAATATGGTTAATGTATTGTGGGAATATGGTGGGTGTGGATGTGCGTGTGAGGGTATCGTCGTTCTACACATTAACATTGACATTCAGACCGATACCCAAAACTTCAGTCTCAAAACAAACGAATGTCATATTCGTTTGTTTTGGAACTAAAATTTTAATGTTCAAAATCTTAGAATACAGATACATATTTAGGATGTTGTACTATCATATCGAAAAACTCAATTTTCTCATAAATGAAACAATATTTTTCAAAAATTATGCATAATTTTTTTCCTTAATATATAAAGAATAAAATCCAAAAATTCGAATAAATATTGAGGCTATCGATATTTAATGTTGTAAGTATATTTCGATTCTTATAAGCTTTTCCGATTTTTTTTTGAAATTTGTTTTCCCAGGTTTCATTACAAAAGCATCATCTGAACAGGTCAAAAACAGTATATTTATAGAAAACTAGATGAGCTCTAGTCTAACCATGACAAAAAGCTAAGAAAATATTGGACAGATTTCGAATTCCCAACATCTTACAAAGTACATTTATTGTCTTTGACTTTGAGTAGTTATATTATTATGAGGATAAAATTAAAATTTGAAAAGATTGTACACTCGAAACCACTGTTAATTAATTGATTATGTACAAATCAATCGATTCATTCTTTATAAATGCTTGTATCTTTTCTCTTTGGTAACATACTCGACTCAATTTATCTAATTCAATCACTCAATATGAAGTTATAATTACTCATCTACTATGTAATATGTAAAATCATGTTTCATTTAACGTTTAAGAATTTGTTAACTCGGAATCTAGAATTAGTAAAATAAAAACATAAAGTAAAAAGTATATTCATTTGAATAATTCTACAAAACTATTTAGTTTCAGATTTTAGCGAATAAATCAGCACGTTTTATGCAGCGACTAATCATTCTGATAAAGAGTATGGGATGTATATATGAACATGTGATGATGAAGAAATATCCACACTAGTTCATACACACACTATCATGTATAAGTAATTGAATATTTCACGAGAAAACAAAGGTAGGATAGATAGCTGTATTATAGTTGTAAGTCGAACAGTTCATGATGCATTTCGATTTTGCTCAATGATCTAATGAGGTTGCTTTAATGGTATACTTGCTGAAATAATCCAGAAATGGTAAACTCTTGAAATAATGTCAATCTGAATGGTTTTAGTTGATGCAAGCGATCGAATAAGAGAGAAAAAAAAGTTTCAGCGCAAGTGTTTAAGTTTCTTTTTAATGTTTTTTTGGTAGTTTATGATTAACAAGAAAAAAATGACTATAGGTATTTGAGATCTACACAAATATGGTTCTCTTTTTTGTTACAACTAGCGTGCGGACATTAAAATAATTATTTAGTTATTTGGTGAAGAATATTTTTGGATATTTTTTTATGTGTCGATGTTTGCTGAGGATGCATCCGTACTAACTAGTTCTTTTGTGAGATTTCTACTATTTTGAGAATCGATGATGTGTTTTGTATTGATTATGTGCGTTTTATTGAATATTTAGTTTCAAAATTGATGAATAGCTTTTTGCCACTTTCGAGTCTGCCGAGTTGACTTATAGTGTGATTATCCACGTGCTTTTTGTAGTTGAAATCAATTGTTTTTATCATT